TTTACTATCAACTGAGTAAGCAATACACTTACCTGAACCAGGTCTTCTTTACTATCAAACTGAGTAAGCAATACACTTACCTGAACCAGGTCTTCTTTACTATCAAACTGAGTAAGCAATACACTTACCTGAACAGGTCTTCTTTACTATCAAACTGAGTAAGCAATACATTTACCTGAATCAGGTCTTCTTTACTATCAAACTGAGTAAGCAATACATTTACCTGAACTAGGTGGTCTTTACTATCAAACTGAGTAAGCAATACATTTACTTGAATCAGATGTTAGTTACTATCAAGCCGAGTATGCAAATCACTAACCTGAACCAGGTGGTCTTTACTATCAAACTGAGTAAGCAATACATTTACCTGAATAAGGTCTTCTTTACTATCAAACTGAGTAAGCAATACATTTACCTGAATCAGGTCTTCTTTACTATCAAACTGAGTAAGCAATACATTTACCTGAATCAGGTCTTTTTCACTATCAAACTGAGTAAGCAATACATTTACCTGAATCAGGTCTTCTTTACTATCAAACTAAGTAAGCAATACATTTACCTTAATCAGGTGATCTTTACTATCAAACTGAGTAAGCAATACATTTACCTGAATCAGGTCTTCTTTACTATCAAACTGAGTAAGCAATACATTTACCTGAATCAGGTCTTCTTTACTATCAAACTGAGTAAGCAATACATTTTCTCCATCAGACACCCTGGTGACTGAAATGTGGAGTCGTCCTTTGCACCGTATGTGAGCATCTTCAGGAAACATGTTGGTTAAACCATCATGCAAAATATTGTTAATATCGAAGCCTGGGTGAAAAGGTCCTAGAGCACGAGCTCTGGCTTTTACAGCAATTTTCAGTACATCTGTTGTACTTTCACCTAGAATATAAAAATAACTGATCCGTCAGTATTATTCACAAGTTTGAGATAATCTTTAGATAATGGATTTTATAAGAACTGAAAATTCATTGGTCATTCTGGTAGTGAAAAGTATGGAAATCACCCTTAAACATACTTAAAAAAATTTCAAATAGTCTATGTATTATTTGTAAACTGATAAATATGCAAATCATCCATGAAAATATAATTTGCATTCAATTACTCAAGACTTTCATCATCTTGCAATGTTATATAGATTCAATTTGAAGTATTGTTAATTTACTTAACTGTTTAACCAGTACAGATGTTGTTGGTTTATTGAACTGTTTGACCAATACCGATTTAGTTTCTAGTATTATTGTTAGTTTAGTAAATTGTTTTGTCCAGTTTGTACGCTTAGTGATCTGATGGACCAGTACAGATTAAGTTTGAAATATTGTCAGTTTATTCAAATATTTGACCAGTAGAGATTCAGTTTAAAGTTTTGTTAATTTAATCAACTGTTCGAACAAGACAGATTTAATTTCAGGTATTGTTAGTTTAGTCAACTATTTGACCACTACAGAGTTAGCTCCAAAAACTGTTAGTTTAGTGAGCTGATGGACTAATACAGGTAAGTTTGAAGTATTGTCAGTTTATTCAAATTTTTGACCAGTAGAGATTCAGTTTAAAGTTTTGTTAATTTAGTCAACTGTTTGAACAGTACAGACTCAGTCTCAAGTATTGTTAGTTTAGTGAACAATTTGACGAGTACAAATTTAGTATGTTAGTTTCACGTATGTAAATGTGCCGATTCTTTAGAGTAGGTGTTTGTGACTCGTTGGCGATAAATTTCATCAATAAACAAACAGCACACAGTATATTTGTTTTAGAATAATATATTAAAACAAGTCAAACGTATATACAAATTTTTGTTACACAGTTACTCACCACCGTTGTATCCAGAGCTTTAAATAATCGTCAAAGGTCAACAGAGGTGTTCAATTACTTTAGAACACAATTTACAAAACAAATTATTTTTCTCTACTCTATCATCACAATACAGTATGTGATAATTCACTTTATAATCGCCGATATTTGCTCTTTATGTAACAACTGTCCAAGTATTTCCAGTGGTTGTCCCTTCAAGCTCGTTGCCAGATATACTGCTCCTCTGTCCATCCATTCATCTCTGCCAGGAGCTCAAATTGTGCTCTATATGCTTCCCACGGTGCCTTCCCATCGAATTACTGTGGCTTCCTTCGTACTAGATCACCCCTATTGCTGAAATTCATATCTGGGATGTGACTTCTAACAGGACTGAAGATGTCTGCATTAGGGTTTAGCTGCAGGGTTTGAAATGGGCTTCCTGTTGTCTGGGGCTGATTAGGTCCATGGTTAATATATCTTCCCTGTATAAAAGACAGAATATTGTCCATTTATGTATTTAATTCACTTTGAAATTTACTAATCTTTTCTATTTGTGTATGCTGGCTTTCTCTCAACTGTTGGATACTTTCTTCCTGTTTCCATTCTTGTTCTAGTTGCCACTGCTGTAATCTCTTATCTTGTTATTTTCTTTCTCTTCCAACCACTGCTGTAGTCTCTCTTGTTTATTTTGCTGTTCGAGCTGCAACTGTTGCAGGTTTTCTTGCCACTGCTGTTGTCTTTCTTCTTGTTTCTTTTCTCGTTCTTCTTGTTTCTTTTCTTTTCCTCCATCAACTGCTGTAATCCCTCTTCTTGTTTCTTTTGCTGTTCTTGTATTCCTGCCATCAAATCTGCTAAGCTGTAGTTTGATTTGCCACCTCTCGTTGACATCTTCTTTTTTTCTGTCTGTGTTGTTTGTTAGTTTTCCTAGAAATTCTTTCCGAGAAACTTCAGCGATACAAGTATTTTCTTAAATAAAACTAGTTTATTCTTTCTCAATTCAACTTTGCAATACACTTAATTTCCACAGTC